AAAAAATAGGGAACGTGGTGGATAAAAAAAGATTATCATCTTCAGCTCTGGAAGATTTACCCCCCTTCATCACCAGGCCATTTTTTGCTATTTGACACTGCGCTATTTCAACTGGTAATTGCGCAGTCATGCAACGCTGTACCCAAACAAAATTTGTGTCCTTTTTCCACACAAATAGAGCCTTTAATTTTTTTTATATTAATGAAAAAGGACCAACAATTTTGAAAAAACCCCAACCTTTTCTACTTCCTGTTATTCTAATCGCATGTGCAACGGTGACAAACAAAATTTTTTTTATATCCATAGGCGATGCTTTAAAAGCCTTTGCAGATCACCACTTTATATTTTCACAGGAGGTCTAGTGCTAGAACTCCTGCCTTCGATCTGATGTTTGTGGTGATATCAATACCTTCATCCTCCAGGAGCTGCCTGCATACTCTCACCACATGAGGCCGGGTATTGTCGTGCACCAGGAGGAACCTAGGACCCACTGCACCAGCGTAGGGTCTGACAATGGGTCCAATGATTTCTATCAGGGATCCTGCCACCGTGCATCCTCACATGCATGGTGCAATCTCTGTTTACATACCGACACAGGACAGACGCTTGCGTTTGCCTTTGCGCGCAAGCAAGGGGAGGCAGGGCTGATTTTTTTTTTTCATGATTTATTTTGATTTTTTTTTTTTATACTGTTCCTTTTTTTTATCACTTTTATTGTTCTCACAGGGAATGTAATTATCCCCTGTGATATCAATAGGCAGTGACAGGTACTCTTTTCTGATAAATCTGAGGTCTATTAGACTCTAGATCTCTCCTCTGCCCTTAAAGCATCTGATCACACAAAGATCGGTGTCACCAAATGCTTACCCAGTTCAAAAATAGCGCTGTTTATATCCGTAGAAACGGAAATGATGAAATGCTCGTAGCTTCCAGTTTCTTAGACCATAGAGATGATTCTGGTCTACGATCAGCTCTATGATCAGCTGGTGGAACATCTGGCTGCATTCTCAGGTTCCCCTGTGGGATAATTAGCCGCTAGGAATGCATTTACATGAAATCCGACTACCAGCTGAAAACATCTTTATGGTATATTCATTGTGGGTTATATGGTTAGTAGTACATGCTAAAACACTAGCAAGGTGGAGAAACCCACTGAAAGAGAAGGAGATGTGAAGGAATTACAGGCTCCTACGACATTACTTCAGAATCCTGATGGTAAAAATGTAGTATACTTCTTTGACTTTGTTCTTTGACTATAGAGAAGGAATAAGAGATTACTACTTCAGAAAGTCAGAACCTATTTCTCCTTATAGAGATCTACCAGTCTTCATTTCATTTGATGCTTTGAATTAATGGAAGTGTGCAAAAAATCTGGGAGGTTGCATTTCCAGAATTGAATTGCAGAACTCTATGTGGTATACAGACACAGGCTTGAAATTGATTTATTTTTGGGCCGGAGCAGCAATTCCACAACTCTGGCTTTAGCAGCAAATGTCCTGATAGTTTTTACTGGTAAAATTGAAGAGAGGTATATTTCTGATGTGAAGTGTTGGATCTAATTACATTGTCTATTGACTTGGTGTCAGTGGCCGCTATAAACTTTTAGAATTAAGATGTTCTTGGTACAGCCAAGAGGACTCTATGGCTAGGTTAGGTTTAACAGCTATAAAAGCCTTGTGTCTCGACTGAGCTAGAAGTTTGAACATATTACGCAGAAATCATTGCACAGCCTGCCATGGTTTGAGCTGCCTGGATACACTTTTGGCCAGGGTCCTCTTGGTTCCCTGGGCGAGGAAAACGAAAGAATCTTCTGGGTGTCTTTTTTACTTCAGAAGTGAAATTTCTTCCAGCCAGTTTGGATACCAGACCATGGAGAGGCCAACATCTCATGATGATTGCTCCCTTCAAACCTGTTCCATGGCACACAATACAGGGGAGGATCACACAGCATTTCATAGCACAGAGATTTCGACATGATCAAAGTCAGGCAGCCTTACTCTACTTCCGGAAATGTCAACCACTTTTTCTGGGTGGAAAACTGAATTGCACATCTAACTGCAGATTGGTAGCCCTGCAAAATGTTCTGGCAGATTCTTTGAGCAGTAACTTGGGGACCACAATGAATGGTGCCATTTAGTTCTCTAGAGGGAAGAAAAGACTAGTGCTGATTATGTAAAATATCACAACTTTTTCCTGGGGTGAAAAGCAGAATTGTACAACTGACTACATACTGCTGGATCTGCAGAATGTGCTAGCAGATCCTTTGAACTGTAACTTAGGAATCACAATTAATGGTGTCATTGGTGTCTTTAGGAAGAGGGCTATGTCAGTATTTCTAGAGGCAAAGCTTGGCTGTTTGTTTTGTTCTTCAGCATTTGAGACCTTAAATCCCTAGTCACATATGCTCATTTATTACCACAGGATTGTCCTCCTTTTTTTTTTCTCTGATGTTCAGAGTTCTCCAAAAATTCCAAAAGAAGATCAACAAACTTAAACATTTATCATTGAAGAAAACCTCTTCCTTCAAGATTATCGTCACAATCTTGATATAAAGAAGGAAACGTGAGCAGCCTGGACACTTAAAAGATGAGGTCTTCCATTCTCCAATAAACATCACCTATTTGTACATTTTGGAAAGATTCCCTTTATTGTAAAGCTGATCTTTTTTTTTTGTCAGTGAATCCAGATATCAGGCATATTCTTCACTTCCTTTACTTAAGGTGGAAAAGGCCAGATTTGCAACTCCATCAAAGTGTGGCACTTACAGGAATGCTTAGCAAATGTGATTACAGTACAGTTTTTAAAAGCAATTTCAAAGGATGGGAAAAAAAAACCCATCGGGGCTTGTTTCCTTAAAGCACACTTAGGCTGCCCATACATGGGTTGATTTCCAAATGATTTTTCATTTGAAACTCGGACCTAAGAATAATCAGCCAATTTTCACTCTGTTAGTGGAGCAATGGTACCGGCTGATTTTCGTGGTTCCTCCCCATTTCGTTTATCGGGCATGCTGAAAAACTACCTATTTTCGAAATCATTGGTGGCACCATCGGATTACAGAAGGATGTTTTCGATCAAATAATCGCTCAGAATTCAATCCATGTACCCAATAGACAGCCTGCGATTGACTATACTCTCCCCACTGCCTGCGGTCAATCACAAGGAGAGAGCGGATTGGATGGGGAGCTGGTGTCTCAGCTTCTCCATCAGGAGCATCCCTCTGTCAGCATCACTGGTTGCTAGGAGTGTGTCAGCTGCGAGGACAAGGGTCCTTACCAACAGAGGGAGGGCAGGGGTCCTGTTGGAAAATATGGCACGCCGCGTACAGAGACAGGCACTCTGCCAGCTAGGGCACAAGGAGGTTGATTTACTGAAGGCAAATAGGTTGTTTACTTCGTGAATGAGGGAAAATTCATTCTGTAAAATATACCCATCCATGTGCAAGAGGAGTAAGAAAATGCATTCCCCCGGCAGCCATTAATAATGGAAGTCCGCACAGCCTCACACAACCTATGTGCCTCTATGAAGTCACCCTAATCTGCTTCATACTAGAACCTCCACCATGACTAGGGGGGGATGAGGCCTGTCTGACCCCCCCATCCTGGGGCGCCGGGACCTGGAGAACCAACACAGACTCGGCTCTGCCATATCCTTCCTATATCTGCACTGACTGGAACGATCTTCTCAACCTACGCAACTACACAGCCTGGCGACACCAACCATAGCGCATGCGCGTTACTCCCGCACAGCTCCTCCTAGACAACAATACCTCCCCTATCCCTCACTCCGCCCCCTCCTTATTCCTACGCACTCGTGACCATGCTTATTGATCAAACATTGCTGGACACGCCCTATGCCCCCACCTTCTTCCTTGTCAGTCACGCGAAGGATTCGGAGTGCGCAGGCGCGGTGGACAGTCCTCGTGCACGCACACGGCAGTCTGGTCTGTTTCGACTTCCCGCCACTGGTCGCGCGCCTCACCGGAGCGAGAGTGAGGGAGGCCAGGCGCGTGCGCGAGAGAAACCAGCAACCAAACCAACCCCTCCCCCCCTCCTCCCTCCCTTCACCACATAATACCGGCGAGAGAGAGAGAGACCCCCGGCTCTCCAGAGACCACCTCCTTCCTCCGGTTATCTGGGCCGCGGCGCTCCCTGGAGGACTCTGTAGGCTGCTTGGCGGCGGATAGGCCGGGGAGACTCCGTGCAGCAGTGCAGGCCGCAGTCGCTTCCTGTCACCCGGGGCGGCAGAGGCCGGAGAACAGGGCGGAGTGACGGAAGAGCCGGGACGGAGGGGAGCGCGGCCTAGAGTTGTGCTGTTGTGGGGTAGGCCGCTGCTCATCCCCGGGGCGCAGGAGCGGAGGGGAGCCGAGGCCTCTACCCCCGGATCTATGGACGTGACAGGCCGGCGCTGATACCCATGTGAGCCCTGGAGCCGCCCGATGAAGAGGAGGACCCGGCCAGCCGTCAGCGTGTGAATTCGGGGCATCCCGCCCCCCTCAGAGACAATGACCTGGGGGTAAGGTGCAGGCCTCGGCGTCTCCATGGTAACCAGCGCACCCAGGAACTATGTGATGCCCATTGATCTCTATGGATGGTCTGCAGAACCCGGTGCCCTGAAATCCTGTGCCGGCTCCTAGGCTGCCCCTGGATCCTGTCATTTCATCTACCCCCTGGGACATGTGAGCTCTGGAGCCCTCCCCTCCCTAATAAACTGGATCATTGGAAGGACCCCTTGTTGTATGACTGAGGGGGGGAGGGTGCTTGGATCATCCCATTGATTTAGGAGGTTTGGGGATGAGAAGAACCAATACTGGAGTTCAGGAGCGTGTTTTTTTAATTTTCATGCACTAGTTTTATCTTCCTGTTCTGAGGATATTGCCTTGGCTGGAGTCTGCACCCTGACCTTTAATTCTGCCTCCCTTCCGAATGGATATAGAAAAATACAAATCCTGTTTGCATTGATTTTCTGTATGCTGGAGCCCGCAGTATAAGGAGTCTGCAATGAACCCAGTGAATGCCACCACTCTGTACATCACAGCAAGCCGACTGGTGCTGAACTACGACTCTGGGGACCCGCAAGCTTCAGCTGAGATCTGCAAGATGTTGCCTTTCTTCAGACAGGCCTTGGCCTGTTGTGCTTGCGGTGAGCCTGGGGAGGGGGGGTGTTTTGGGACTATAGGATGGGTACTCTTGTAGGCTACATTCACACCTGTGTTTTGACCTGACAGCATGCACCTGCAAGAGCACCATTGAAAGCAATGGGAATCTGCTGGCTACCGAAGCAAATTGTGGCCACTCGCTTGGGATCAGTATGCAGAGATTACCTGCAGTTGATCAGCCCTGAATGTAGGCTGTCTAAATTCAGGGCTATTCATTCGCAGGTGATTGCCGCACTGGGATTACATGCGAGTGGCCACAATTAGCTGCAGGAACCATCTGCTTCCCATTGCTTTCAGTGGGACTGCCTTCCACAGCTAATCGCCAGGTACGTGCTGTTGGACCAAAATGCAGGTGTGAATGTAGCCTTAGGTTTAAAGAATTTCAGGTATGGTTATATGATACATAGTAAAATTGGTCCAAGCCGGGCCAATCTCACTCTGTATATACCTTGGGGTTGATTTACTAAAGGTAAATATACTGTGCACCGCAAGTACACTGCAAGGGCAGTTGCTTTAGATCCGAAAGAAAGCTCTGAAATAAGGCAAAGCTCTGCTCATTTCTTTCATCCGATCATGTCAGGAATGTGCAATTTATATCACCTGGTGCCGAGCAGGTAGTTTCCTTTTAACATTTAGCACTTTGCTAAAGTGCCAAACACCCCCCATGCCCCTATCGCGCCCCCCCATACCCCAGGCTTCGCATCCCCATCTGTGGGCCTGGGACTGGTGTAGAAGGGTGCCAGCTGGTATGATGTCACTTCTTGGTCCCCGTTGACAGTTATCCTGGCTATGAAAAGCTGTGAAAGATTGTAGTGCAGTGTGATGTGCACTGCATTACATTCAATGGAGCACAGGGGAGGCATGAAGGGTCTTTTAGACCCTGGGTGTCTCAAAGAGGACCTGTCACAAAAAAATCATCACATAAGGGACTTTTTGTCCCCTATGTGATGGGGGGGGGGGGGGAGTTAAGTAAATGTAACATGCTCCTGCAGCAGCTCGGCTATCCAAGCCCTCTGTGTGACAGTAGTACGGGGAGAAGTTCCTTGCACCTGGTTGTTACTTTTTGAAAATCAACTGGTAGTTTGACAAGTACCAACATCATTTGTGGCTTTGGCTTGTAGTTCTCAATGCTGTGGCTGTTCAGCACCGTGGTAGTTCTCATGAACTACCATGAACGTGGTAGTTCTCAATGAACTACCACGGTGCTGTTCAGCACCGTGGTAGTTCTCAATGAACTACCACGGTGCTGTTCAGCACCGTGGTAGTTCTCAATGAACTACCACGGTGCTGTTCAGCACCGTGGTAGTTCTCAATGAACTACCACGGTGCTGTTCAGCACCGTGGTAGTTCTCAATGAACTACCACGGTGCTGTTCAGCACCGTGGTAGTTCTCAATGAATACCACGGTGCTGTTCAGCACCTGGTGTTATGAACTACCACGGTGCTGTTCAGCACCGTGGAGTTCTCAATGAACTACCACGGTGCTGTTCAGCACCGTGGTAGTTCTCAATGAACTTGCTGTTAGTGTGAAATTGCTTCTTGTATGAGGTCTGGACAGACAGTTCACACTGACAGTCTGCGGGAGTCCTGCATTACACCCATGATCTGCTGATTGCTGGTGCAATTTTTTTCTAGGCTCCTAAAAAAAAAAAATGAAATTACCTTTTAAAAAAATGTGCAATTTATCCTTTAACAGAGTGGACACAGGAGTATGATTTGGCTGCTCGGCATGTGCTTGTACTGAGCACCCAAGTACTTTTGTGTGCGAGGGTAACCTGAAGGAATAATTTTTTTCTTTCTCATTGGGGCCAGCACCTCATTTACTCGCTCAGCAGATACGCTTGTAAGTGTTAAGAGAGCCCGATACTCCCCTTCCTTGAGTACCCAGTCTGTGCTCGTCACACTGCAAGGTCTCTTCGCTCCCTGCTAGTTCCCGGGTGCAGTGCTGGAGACAGGCTGGGAGATAAGGAGGTAAACGGCGCAATGTTAAAAATATTAAAAGTTTAAGTTGCCATAAAGCTCACTTTGTTTTTGAAAGCCCCAGATATTCTTAATAGCACTGTATTTAAATACGGCTTTGGTTAAAAAAAAAAAAATCAGGACAAGTAGTTTGGGTCCCCGATTTAGTCCCTTGGACAAGTAGTTTATTCAAAATTTTCCACACCTCCAGCATGTGCAAGCAAAAATACAATTTTTTTTTCTTCTCCTTGCATGTTCCCCTCAGATCTAGAGCAACTGCACTTTCAGTGCACAGCTTTTTTGCCTTTAGTAAATCAATCCCACACCTGCTGATGCCCCTGGAAGCTGGAAATCACTGAATTAGAGACCACTACTCCAGCGATCTCCATTTGCTTCCGGGTCCCGCACCAAGTGGCTGCACTCAATACTGAACACAGGTTCTGTGATTGGATAAGGCAGAGCAGTAGTGTCATACTTTCTACCTCGTCCAATCAGAGAATGCTTTGTATACAGAAAATTCAAAGGAGTCTTTGAGTGGCACCTGTGCTGAGCAGTCAACTTCTTTGCTCACAAGGCATCAGGTCAGCCACTCGAAACAGGACCTGGAAGCAATTGGAGATTGGAATAGCAGTGTCTACTTATGTGCTTTCCAGCTTTCATGAGCATTTGCCAGGTATGGTATGAACAGAGTTACATGGGGCCAAGCTGGACCAGTGTAGACATAGGAAAATATACCATGTCTGGAATCCATCTTTAATTAAATGCCCTGCTAATTATTTATTATTATTATACAGTATTTCTAAAGCGCCAATAGTTCACTCAGCGCTGTACATTACAAAGGGGGACAGAACAATACCAATACAATGCAAAACATGAGGGGATTGAGGGCCCTGCTCTTTCGAGCTTACAATCTAGGAGGGAGGGGATAGTGGTACAGGAGGAGATAGCTGTGGGGGATGGAGTGGTAGGAAGAATGGAGGAGGTCGGCAGGTTAGCAGGGGGTGGGGATGGGTTTTCAGGGTGCGCCTAAAGGAGAGGAGAGTAGGTGATAATCTGATGGGTTGGGGCAGGGAGTTCCAGAGGATGGGTGACACCCTGGAGAAGTCCTGGAGGCGGGCAAGGGAGGAGGAGACCAGGGAACTAAACAGAAGGAGGTCTTGTGAGGAGCGGAGTGTGCGTGCTGGGTGGTACTTGCTAATACTTTAGATCATTATGGGTGACTGGATCGGAGGGGAATTTTATTAAAACTGGAGAAGCTGTACATGGCATCCATCTGCTTTGAAAATGAAAGCTAGAAGCGGATTGGCTGCAATGCACAGCTGCTTCAGTTTTGATTAATTCCCCTCAATGTATCTGCTGCAGGGCTGACTATGTTTTCATTTTTTAAACCTTGCGCCTAGTTGTCGAGCAACATCCAGGTTTATGTATACCCATAATCTTCATGACACAGAGTATGTCCTTTCACTTTTCTTTTCTGACACTTAAGGCATAGTTGTTTGCTTATTACAAGTATTGCATATTACAGGTATTGCATGTAGCTCCAGCAGTGTGCAAAGCACTTTACATATATATTCATGTCAGTCCCTGCTCTCAAATTACAGTCTAAGGTCCCTGTCTTACTTATGTGTGTGTGTATGTATGTGTGTATATATATATATATCTATCTATCTATATATATCTCTATATCTGGAGGAGACCCTTGCAAACTTCATGCAGGGTGGTGTTCTGGTTGGAAATTGATTTTGTGCTGCATGGCAGAAATGCTAATCACTAAGCCATTGTGTGTTTAGATTTAAAGTAGACCTTTACTCAAGATACTTTACATCATCACAACTACAGTATTCCCACCCCACTGGATATTGGATACTTGACTGTATTATTTTCTTTAACACTCCAGCTTGCCCCCTGCCTCCATTCATGCCTAGACAAGAATGATATGTATACATTGCTCCTGAATCCTTCTACGATATGCATGTCAAATATCCCAGGTAATATGGGCATTTGGAGGGTGGCGAACCTGCACAAGGAGATGGGCAGACATGGTGGAACATCATTGGTGGGTGGTTCCAAGATCTAGTAAGAGACAGCTGGTTCAGAAAGGAAGATCCAGGGTGGATCACAGCAGGACAGCGCTGGATTCTGTGGGAATACATTTATTGTAGAAAACCCCTGTGTAAACAGGAAGGGGGGGGATCTAAAAATATACACCTGGGAATTAACAAAGTTCCTTTTTAATGTTTAAAGGTCCATTATAGTAGAAAATATTGTTTCTGTTAGTGACAGGGCTCGTTCACACCTTTTTGTGTCAGTTTTTCTGCATGCGTTTTGCAAGGGCACAAGGAAATCCATTGTTTTTTATATGCCCTGTTCACACCACAATGCTAGTATCAAGTGCAGATTTTTTCTCTGCAGGAATCTGCAAAATATATAAAACTCATTGAAATGTGCCTGAAAACTGATGTCTCTGCAAGTGAAATCTGCGCATCAGTTTCCATCAGCTTTTCTGCAGGTTTGGTGTGAACGAGGCCTAAAAGTGACAGTTTAGTGGCTGTTCACAGAACCCACACAGGAAATTGACCAGCTTTCCTTGCTGTATAAGCAATGGGAGGTGGTGCCTTGTTTTTTCTGTTGGTGCTGCTGTTCCTTTTTTTTTTTTTTTTTTTTTTTGCTAACTTTATTGAAATGTTACAAAGTGACACTTCAAGTCTGTGCAACACAGCAGTGGTGTTTAGAGCTCCTGTGTGGTGTAGAAAAATGCTGATGTGCTGCAGATTTCTTGACCGCACTGTACCTGCTGTCTGTGTTCTTGGGTGAACAAGGCACATAGAAAACAATTGTTTTGTGTGTGTTTTGTGTAGATGGGTGTTTTGCTAGTGCGTAAAAATGCAGGTCTTTGCGCAAGTGTGAGCAAACCTTAAAGGTTTGAAACAAACTGTATAACACTAAAAGAAAAATGCTGTGACTGCTTAAAATTTGTTAGCTGATATAATATCAACAGGGTGGCAACGCTACTGTGTGACTTCAC